ACGAGCGGCCGCTTCCGCGGCAGGAGCGGGCACCACCAGCGGCCGACGCCGAGGGGCAGGGCCACGCGGAATTTCCGGCAGATCCAGAGGCGGAGCCCCGTCGCCAGCGGCAACGGCGCGTAGAGCTCGTTCTCGCCGAACGCGTAGGACGGAATGATTGGGACGCCCGCCTCGACGGCGAGGCGCACGAAGCCCTTGCGCGTCTTCCAGTAGGCGATGTGCCGCCCCGGCGCCGCGCGCATCTGCTCGGCCTCGCCGCCGGGGTAGACGAAGAGCGACCGCCCGGAGCCGAGCACGCGCCGCGCGACGCGCCGCGACGCGTCGACGTTGCCGAGGAAGAGCAGGAACTCGCGGTAGAGCGGCACCTTGAAGACGAAGGACGCGGCCAGATCCCGCCGGTCGACCGGCCAGACGCCGTCGCCGAACCAGCCCGCGCAGTCCGTCATGTAGAGCGCGTGGTTGAAGCTGACGACGCCGTGCGGCGCGACGGCGAGGATGCCCTGCGGGCAGGCTTTCAATTTCTCCGGCGCCTCGACGACGAGCCTCGCCTCGCCGAAGAGGAACGACGCGACGGCGCGCCAGCCGGCCCAGCACTGGAAGCCGCGCCGGCAGTCGCCGCCGGGCGCGAGCTCCTTGAAGGACCAGTACGACGGCAGGTAGGCGAAGACGGCGGCGGCGACGCTGGCCTGCAGCCACCACGGCGCCGTGGAGACGGCGTCCATCGCTGTGTATGCAGCGGACGGCGACGGCGACTGTGTATGCAGCGGACGGCGACGGCGACGTCGGTGGCTTCTCACGTGAGAGCCGACTGCACCGTTTTCATGCGAGTTCAAGTTGCCTCAGACTTGCGGCTCACGGCCGAGAATCTGGGAGCATTAGCATTCGAAAGCACCGATGGAGAAGGTGCGCTACCAGGATGTGGAGATGCAGGCCGCGGCCACGGAGCTGCCCACGGTCCACGCGACGGTCGTGCCGCCGTCGCAGCCCATCGTCGTCGCCGCCCAGCCCGTGCCCGTGACGGCGCAGATCGTCGGGCAGCCCCCGGGCGCGCCGCCCGGCGGCTTCGTCGTCGCGGCCGCGGCGGCCCCGCGGCCGGCCCCCGGCCGCTGGATCGTCTCGACCTTCGAGCCCCTCTGCGACGGCTTCAGCTGCTGCGGCCCGCCCGAGCACAAGGCGTCCTGCCAGCTCTGGTGGTGCGCGTGCTGTCTGCCGTGCGTCGTCATCGGCCAGCTCAGCGAGCGCGTCGTCCGCAAGGGCTCGTACCGCGGCACGTTCTGGTGGCTCTTCGGCGCGTTCGTGCTCGGCGAGATCGTCAAGATGGCCATCGGCCCCCTGGGCCTCGCGCCCTTCTACTCGCTCGAGCTCGCCATCGACCTCCTCGTCTGGGCCATCTACGCGCACTACCTGCTGAAGATCCGCGCGCGCATCCGCGAGCGGGACCAGATCCCGGACGACGGCAGCCTCGCCGAGTGCTGCTGCGCCTACTGGTGCAACCCCTGCGTCCTCTGCGCGACGGCGGGCCACGACCTCAAGGTCGCCGGCCAGCTCTACGCGCCGACGGAGAACGGACAGATGGGCGGCCGGACGCTCAGCTGCTGCTGATGTGCTAATTTGCTTGTTTCGGAAATTGTTGTCAGGCCTCGCCAGGGCGCCGAGCCCCTCTCGCGAGCTCACTAGGCGACGATGTCCGCCTACGCCCCTGCCTTGGGCCGGCGCGGCCACGGGCACACGACCACGCGTCGAGCTCGCCCGGGTCATGCGGCAGAGCAGGGGGCTACCCAAAAAAAAGTACCAAACAACATGACGGATTTTTGGTGCCGGCCACCGGCGCCCACCCACCCACCTCCCGGCCAATCAACGAGCTCCTTCGTCGTTGGTTGCCTTCAAGTTGCCGCGTCGCGCGCCGCTGGGCGATCGCTGAATTGCCACACCGCGCGCGCGGCGCCGCGGTCGACCGGGAGTCGCCGGTGCCGCGGCAGGAGCCGCCACCGTGCGGCCGCGGGCCACCCGACGCACGCCGGGCGCGGCCCGACTCGACGAGGACACCGCCGTGCTCCATGGCACCTCTTCCCGACTCCCGGTGCGGCGCGGGACGCGAGACGCGCGCGGCCTCCGCGCGCGCGCGCGCGCGTTACAAGTACCCTTTAAGTACACTTTGGGTTTTTGAAACCCGACCTCCGGACCCACCCAGACCACCCCGTCATGTTGTCGGATCTTTTGTCCGTGGTCGCCTCCTGCTCAGGCTCAGAGTCGTGAACACCTCAAATGCAGGCCATGATGTTTGCGGCCACAGTCGTCGCTACGTTGCTTCTTGGCACCGATGCTTACCCGTACAAGCTTGCGTGCACGAAGCGCATCGCCGTCGGCGACAACTACATGGGCAGCTCGCCGGCCATCGCGAGCGCAAACTCCATCAAAGTCGTCGATTCCACAGGTGCCGTCGTCGCCTGTGGCTCGACCGTCGCAGCAGACACGGAGCTCACGGTAAGCCTCGCCTCCAGTCAAGACGCCAAACGCTACGTCCTCGAAATCTCCGGCGGGGAGTTCGCGGCCGGCACGTGCGACGCGACGCGTTCCAACGACAACGCGGCGACGTTCGCGCTCGCCGCGGGCGAATCCGTGAGCCTCCTCGGTGCGCATGCGC